CATTGTAAAACAGCTAAAGACATATGGGAAACTTTGAAGAAAATCCATACTAAATTTGATACTTGGCATGGCTTAGATTTTATCAATACCACCAAAAGCACAGACGAGACGATCAAACAGTACCTGAATAGACGAAACGGGTTATATCATAAAGTCAAAAATGCGAGAAAGTTCAAGCAGGATTCACGGTATTAGGTTTACGTGATCAATATGAACACTTAGCAAGGAATCTGAGAGCCGATGAAGATGACCTGAATATGTGCAATTTGAAGTCAAAGCTGCTAGAAGCTGCTGAATGGACATAAAGAAAAAGATGAAGTTGAAGCATTTGCGACGCAAAAGACACAGCTGAATTTTAAAAGTGAAAATTTCAAACCTAGACGTGGAAAGCCATTCAACAGAGCAGGCTCGAACCGGAATAGAGAAGATACTACTGATACCATAAAATCCAGTTATTCACACGAACATTTGCAGAGGTGCTATAGATGTCTGTCTGGATATAGGTCACATTGTAAAAAATTGTCCTCTGTCTGCAGCAAAAGGAACGAAACCATACAAATCTTCCTATGAGTTGGAAAAGTCAGACGCTTCAACTTCAGAATTTGCAATCAGTGATATACGAAGGGAAGAAGAAGAAAATGAACATCATTTTTCTTACTTAATGAATAATAAAACAAATTGGGATACTTGGATACTAGACAGTGGATCTACCGATCATGACGTTAAATTTTGAGAAATTCATAAATTTCACCAAACGAAACACAGTTGTAGAAATAGCTAGTGAAAAGACGATCCTATCAACTGGTTTTGGAGATATTGAACTGAAATTGGACGAAGAAAATGGAAGATCCGTTATAGTACTTAAAAATGTTCTATATGTTTCAGAACTGAGAACTAATTTATTGTCGACGAGTGTAGCAAATGAAAAAGGCTTGAAAATAATATTTAAGAGAAATCATTCGAAAATAATTGCACCAAGTGGAGAACTAGTTGCAAAATCGATTAAAATCAACGGATTATTTTACATAAAAGAGATACTAATAAGAAGCAACATGAGTCATTTGCTAATATTTCTCCAAATAAAGCCATTTCTGAAGAAAATAAATTATGGCATAGACGTCTCGCTCATTTGAATATTCCTACTGTGAATAAAATGCTCAAAGAAGACAGAAATATACATAACTTTGATGAAGGTGACGAAATCGAAGAAAATTTTACCATTTGCTATCAAGGAAAGCTGAGGCGAAATCCATTTCCAAAACGAAGTCTCAATAGAGAAGAAGCCCCTTTGAAACCTATACATTCAGATGTAGTAGGCCCAATCACACCAGCTTCATTAGGTGATAGCAGATACATTATCACATTCATAGATGATCATTCAAGATATTGTGAGATTGGTTTAATGAAGAGCAAAGATGAAGTTTTCATTAAATTCAAAGAATATAAAGAGAGAGCGGAAAATTTACACGGGAAAAATATTTGCTGTTTACGAAGTGACAATGGTGGCGAATATTTGTCAAATGTATTTAAAGAATATTTGCAAAAACATGGTATTCAACATCAGTTAACCATTCCAGGGACTCCGCAACAAAATGGAGTGGCAGAGAGGACCAATCAAACATTGTTCGACGCAACAAGATGTATGATGATCGAATCAGGTTTACCTGAAAAATTTTGGGCAGAAGCACTTGCAACAGCATGCTAACTTAGAAATCGCTGTGCAACAAATGCTATCGAGGGAGAAAGCCGAATACAAAAATGGAAACCGATGATATCCATTGATAAATCTCATTTAAGGGTGTTTGGATGCAGAGCTTGGGCAGTGAACAAAACAAGAACAAGTAAATTCACTCCTAAAGGTATAAACTGCATATTTTTGGGCTACGATAGCAATTCCAAGGCATACAGACTGTGGAATACAAAGAAAGAAAAAAATCTTCATTAGCAGAGATGTTAAATTTGAAGAAGACGTTTTTCCAACGTTGCAAAGGAAACCAGATATGCCGAAAACCAAAACAATAGGAGGAGATGAGGTATTATTAATATGAAGACGAATATTTTTAATTTTGAAACAAAACTATAAACAAGGACAACAAAAATGAGAGAAAATGCAGAAAAAACTACCAAATCGGGCAGAATATCGAAGAAACCTAATTGGATGTCAGATTACATAGTCGACGAAGAAGCATGTACCTGCATCAAAATTTTGTAATGAAGCTAAACATTCTAGACCGATGGAAGAAAGACACCATGATCCAGTACATCTAATAGAGGCATTAACTGGAAATAACCGATTAAATTGGAAAGATGCTATTGTTCAAGAATTTGATAATCTCATTAGAAATAATATTTTATCAATCAGAGTTATGAGAGATCAGGATAAAATAAGATTAGACCAGTCATGATATGCCTTCGAACTTTTGAGAGAAATGAGCATGTTGGAAGCAAAGAAGGTATCTACTACTCTACCCGTAGGAGAAAAATTTAAAATTGATGACGATGAACCCTTAAATGAGGAAGATACAAAATCATATCAGAGAGTTATTGGAAGTCTTTTATATTTGGCAGTTTCGACAAGACTGGATTTAGCATTTCCCGCTACATTTATGAGTCAGTTCAATCATAGACCTTCAAAGCACCATTGGAAAGGTATGATACATATTCTCCGATATCTAAATGGGACAAGAAACTATGGATTAGAATATTCAAAAAAAAAATTATTATGGAAGCCTACAGTGACGCAGATTGGGGATCAAATGAAACAAACAGAAAGTCCTACAGTGGCTATGTTTTCAAAATTGGAGGAGGATCTGTGAGTTGGTTCTGCACTAAGTACTGTAGAATCAGAATTTATCGCCCTGAGCGTAACAGCCAAAGAACTGATTTTTTTGAATAAATTGGCTCATGAAATATCCAAGGAACAATTTTTTGGTGATTGTTTTCCTATTTTTATCGACAATCAAGGTGCGATTGAACTAGCCGAAAATAATATAATTTCCGAAAGATCAAAACACATTGATTTGCGTATGTTTCACATCAGATATTTGATAGAAGAAAAAACAATTGTTTTGAAATATGTTCCATCACGAGAAAATTTGGCTGATCAACTGACGAAATGTGTTGCTGCAGTCATTTTGGTGGAGCATTTGAAAGAATTGGGGATCAAAGATCCAGGGGGAGTGTTAGAAATGATTGATTTTTAGTCAGCTCTGTATTGAGCTGTTTCATTTAATTTTGAGTGTGCCCTGTAGACGTTGTTTTGAAATAGTTGTCAATTGCTAACTGCACGTCCAGATATTTGTTTTGCAGTAAATTATTTGAGTCGTTTTCAAGATTATGCAGGAGAGGAATGCTGGAAACACCTCAAGAGAGTTTTTAGATATCTACGCGGAACTTCTGAACTGAAACTTTGTTACAGGCGACGAGAAAAGGCTCCAGTAATTATTGGTGTTACTGATTCTGATTGGGCAAATGACATCGATAGGAAATCAACTTCTGGTTATTAATTTAAATCATTTGTAAATAAGGTTTCTTGGACAACAAAGAAACAACTGTGTGTTTCCCTTTCAACTACTGAAGCTGAGTACATTACTTCTTGCAATGCTGCTTGTGAAGGAATTTGGTTGAAAAATCTGATAACTGACATGAGAATAAACTTTTGTATTCCCATACAAATATTTGAGGACAATCAGGGATGTATTCAGCATTCCAAGAATCCCGATACAAAACGGTCCAAACATATTGATATCAAATATCATTTCATCAGAGAAAAAGTAATAACCAAAGAAATAGAGCTGAGATATGTGGAATCGAACAGGCAAGAAGCAGATATACTGATGAAAGGACTGACAAGAGATATGTTTTTAGAGCTCCGAAGTCTATTAGGATTGAATGATGGACTTCTTATTCAGGCGGGGTGTTGAGTTATGAATATGAGAACATCATTCAGTTTAGTTGATTTATAATTTTATTTTATCTAGTTGTATATAGTTGCTATTGTATCAAAAAAAAAAGAAAAACAGTTTTTGTCAATAAAAGTCAAATGAAACATTTCATTTTTCTTCAACTGAGGAAAGTTATTATTTCCAAAAAATACTCATCTGGACCCGCGTTTCACCAACTAAGTTGGTGTCTTCATCTCCTGAAAATGCCAACTAAGCTGGTGAAACACATATCTTTTCTTATTTATGTATTATTCTTTACTGAAGAATTAATTGTCATTATATTATTATTATACTGATTGAAAGTAGACCATTTGATGTAGCGACCTAGATGCAAGCGATTGTAGAATGAATAACAATAATGATAATGAATGATTTTATTGCAATGAAAAAACATAAACAATTGTCATAGTTTTAGACACAGCTATTGCAAAAAGCAAAAATGGTATATTTCTAATAACTATTTTCAAAATAAACTGAAATGAAATATAATATGTTAATTCACAGCAACTGTTTTATTATTATTTGATGAGTTCAATACATTATAACATCTATTACATAGTTCATTATCTTTCTCCGAATTTATTTTTCTGCATCTGGGGCAAGACACATTTTGACTTTTAGAGATTTCCAGCTCATAATCCATTTCCATATTGTCCTCAGTAATGCTCACATTTGATACTTGGAAGATATCAACCAGTTGCTGCTCTAGTTCACTGATTTCCATCAAGTTCTGAAATATGCACAAAATATAAGTGAACCGTAAAATATTTTTGAATGAACAAATAAAATATAAAAAGACGTTAATGAAGATACTGGAATGTCCATAGCACTGAAGCTAAAATTACGTATATAGTATTTGCTTAAACGCCCATATTTTTTGAAAAACTTTTAAAATAAATATTGTTATTTCCTCATACATCAGTTACTTTCTTCTGTATATGTAGAAAATAACTAATAAATAAAAAACTCCAACTAACAGGCACCCCTTTCAAGACATCAAGTATGCATACATTCTCAAGTACATATTACCCTATTCTTTAACAAAATCTCAACTTTGCTAAATTGATTTAGGTCTGGCGGATTTGGAATCATGGACTAATAGTTATACTAGTGTTCGGTGAGTGTATCCGGCATAATTTCAATGTTCTACAAATTGTACTGCTTCCTCTTACAATAGTTTTTTATGACCATGGTGAGAAAAAAAACTATAAACGGCTCATTACCCTCTAAGGAACTTTTTTTTGAGATGATGTATGAGGAGACATTGTTCTTGAACCCAATTTTTTTTAAAGCAAAAATATTAAAGAAAATCAATTAAAGAGGGACACCCCCTGTTTAGGCAAAAATGTAATGTAAAGAAATGAATGAATAGTTGAATGAATCATTTGAAACTCCTGATAACATTGAGTTATGCTAACAAAGATTACCACTTGCTTCACACACAAAATGCCTTGGAATTTTCATAGATGCCAACAAAGATTAACATTTGCTTCACATACTAAATGCCTTTAAATTTTCATAGATGAGACATTGATTTTCAAAAACCACATCGATTTTATCTCCAAGAAGCTGAATCAGACCTGTCATCGTTTGAGAATATTGATAAAAAAATTTCAATATAGCCAGAACCTTCTATTTTGTTAATCCTCATGCTCGGGGACCTTGCGGTATTATTATTTGGGGAAGTAGTAGTGAAGCTGTGAGAGATTTGAAGGCATAAAAGAAGCAATATGTATCAAGAATGAATTGAATTTTGATGATTCGTGCAGAGGATTAACAACAATGAAACTCATGGCGTACCAACACTCTCTATTCATGAAGGCATTAAATTTGTTTTTGAAAATTGGAGCTACTATGATCTTTTTGAGACACTTCACTCATTCCATACCACCATCTGTCCTGCACAGAAATACTCTGTTACTGTTTCGAATTTTATAATCACGCATCTATTGAAATAAAAAGAAATACTAGTCAAAATGCTCCCATTCATGAATTTTGTTTCATAACTGGTATTTAGGCATTCAATAATTTTACTGCAATGCCAATTTCATAGTTTGATGTTTGTTTTTATTTGCTGTACATTATCATATGTATTTTACTACATTCAATTATTATATTACATACCTTCATATCAGAAAACCTTTGCTTTGAAAATATTACAGTCACATTAACTGCCATCGTATTTGCTCCCAATTCCTTATTAATATCCTTCTTACAATTCAGTATAACTTCCATGGCCTTTGCAATACTCTCGTTTTCCCAATCTGACTCAGGTTGTGCATGGTGACTAGTAAAATATGTCTTACTATCTTTTTGAGGCATGTTCAAATGAATTTCTTCTGCCAAATGTGGAACCATTGGTGCAATTGACCTAGTAACAACTTCCAAAATTTGTAATAGCGTATGCTGAGCAGCTCGCCTTCGAGAATTATCCAAGTTGTCACAGTACAAACGGTCTTTTACGGAAGTGTAATACAAAGCTGAAACAGGGTTAGTCAGGAGGTGTAAAAGAGTAGCAGAAACTTTGTGGAATTGATAATTTTCAAGGAATTCCCCTACCTAGAAAAACAAATGATTATATGAAAGTAGGCATCATAAAAAATAAATAGGAAAAGTTACTTACTTGATTGTGAAAATGTAACAGGAGATGCAACATATACTTGTCAATTAACAACAAATTATTTTTGTATTCTTCTGAATTCTCATAGTCAGATAAGCTTCCCAGTGCAAATCTTAATATACTCCTGATTTTCTGCACTTCTTCAGCACTAGAATCCAACACATTTGTACTTACATGTGCTAAAGAAACTTGATTGGCATGGCAGGTCACCCACCACCTTCAAATGATAAAAACATGATATGGTGAGAAGTGAAAGATCATATGGCATATCTTTTAACATATAAAGAATATGAGAGACACATTGTGCGTCATTTAGAGCAGGGAAAAACTGCCTATCCATTGTTTTATTCTTCATTGGCTTCAATTAACTTTTTCTATCATAAATCGTTACTTTTCTTTTGAAAAGGAAATCATTTTTGATCTAAGGAGTAGGCAGATTGAGACCTTAAAGAGAACTCATGACGAGACCTGGGGAGTAGGCAGATTGAGGCCCCGGCGTCAAGTCACATCAAATTTTTGAAACGGACTCCTAAATGGGAGCTGAAACGTTGAATACAAAACTCTAGACAGTGATATATAAAGAAAATATTGAGTCTCTTGTTAATCCAATTACTCATATCATAAACACTATTCTGTGTGATAATATTTTACCAGAAAACCTAATAATGGCGAAAATAATTCCAATCTTTAAATCAGGGGACAGGTAGGATCTGAATAATTACCGTAGAATAGCTTCCATAGCTAAGGTAAATCAGCTTACCTAGCTGAGAAGCTGATTTACCTTAGAATAAGTGGTTATCTTGAGGAGAACCATTTTTTTCTCAGAACATCAGTATGGTTTCAGGGAAGAAAAATCTACAGCTGAAGCAGTGAGAAGATTTGTTCAGTTTGTAGCCAATGGGTTTGAAGCCGCAACTCCCTCTCTGGAAGTTTATGTTGACCTCCGTATAGCGTTTGACTGTGTCAATCACACTATACTAATGAATAAGTTAAAATTATACGGATTTTCTGACTACGCTATAAAACTGATGACCTATCTTCAAAATAGATCCCAAATAGTTCACTGCAATAATCAGAGCAGTTCAAGTCTAACAATACATAAAGGTGTCCCACAAGGTAGCGTTTTAGGACCGCTATTGTTTTTGACTTACAAACGCACATCTTGTTAGCTGATGATGCTACCTTCGCAACCAGAATAGAATAAAATAATTCTACAAGAATCGATAAAATGATAGGATTGATCATCAATCAAGCTACTGAGTGGTTCAAGGTAATAGAAGTAAGTTAAAACACACACAAAACTCAGACACTTGTCTTCATAATCAAGCATACTGCCACTAAAATTGTAAAATTTCATTGGAAATTTCATGTACATCAATTAACAAGCAAGTTATCAAAAGCAATATTTGCAATTAGACGGATGAAATCGCTAGTGATCTCGGAGGCAGCCATCTTCGCTAACCATGGAATGTTTCACTGTATTATGACTTACGGTCAAATTAACTGGGGCCATTCTTGCTATGATCAGTCTTCATGGTGAACAGACAAGTGACAAACTATGGACACTATAGTCCTCGATAAAGAATTCTGAGAGAGGCTAACGAGTCAGGTCTCAATTTTTTCCATAACTCTTTGGAAGTATTTAAACAGGAGGCCAAGGATTATGTGATTATATTTATTATCCAGACAAGAGCCATTAGAGCTCTGGCTGGTATAACCCAGACTGAAAGCTGTAAACTATGCTTCATTAAGTTTAAAATACCGACACTTCCATCAGCTATTGATTATAATGAATTAATCTATATAAAAACGAACGTGCATTTGTACATACTTAATGGAAATACACACAATTATCCGACTAGAATGAGATCCCATATCGCTATTCTCAATAATAGATTAAACCCTACTAATAAAAAACTTATTAGTATCAGATTATTCAACTCTCTACCAGACTTTATCAAAGAAGCTCCAATAGCCATGTTTAAAGCAAAACTAAAAACTCACTTACAATGCTCTGCCTATTATGACATCTGTGAATTTAGATTTCCTCAATGTTAGTTAATACTGAACCCTTTTTAACAAACACGGAAATACATTTTATAAACTTATTAATTTTGAAATTTGGAATTCAAATATCAGTGTCATGAAAATTTATATTAATTTCTGTGAAATCCAATATCTATATTTCAATCATAAACATTAAACAATATTTATTTACATTTAGGATTACTTGTAGTCAATGACTTCAGACAGACAGAGATTACAATGATATGATAAGAAGATTTATTCACCTTCAAAATTTTTCACAGAAAAACAGTATGTTACAGTAGACTATGAACAGTTTTAACTTTAGAGGCACACCGATGGAAAACACAAAAACATTAATCATAAAATATGTAGTCCACACTCTTGACAAGCAAAAATATAAGTATTTAGATCTATGAATGAAGAAAAATGTCATTTATATCATATAGTGGATTCAGCAACAATGATTGTTTTAGTTGGTATTTTAATGTAATTAAAATTATTTTAATGTAACTGTGTAAAACTATTTCAGATAGGTTACTTCATTATTCAATTTTGTTTAATTGAATTATCAAAAAAATTCTAATCTATACACAATTACAAACCTCAAAGTATCCACTCCATAAGGCTTTTGGCCTTTTTTGCCATCCTTAATGTGTACAGGGTTGACAACATTTCCTATTGATTTGGACATTTTAGTCCCATTTTGGTCTACTGCGAAACCATGAACGTAAAGGCTTCTGTAAGGGGCTTTATTTCTCAAGGCAACCGATGTCAACAAAGATGACTGGAACCAACCTGTTAGTTGATCTACACCTTCTAGATACATATCAGCCACTTTTTCTCCCTCTAATACCTTCGCCCAAGATAGACCACTGTCCAACCATATATCCATTATATCCTAAATAAAATCATTCATATCACATTTGGTTGTTTACAGTTTACTATAAGATTTTACCATCAAACATTACTTCAAATTACTTGTTTTACTTATGATTTCTATTAAATATTTTGTAATACTCAATATGAATCATGTTTTTATTTCATTATTGTGAAGGAAAAAAATACTCTACACAATTAGATTCACATTGATGACTTTTTTTTAATCAGTTGTCATCTCCATGTGAACAACAACCCTCAAAAGTCGAAACTTGGATGAGCTATGGATTAACGAAATATTACCTTTTGAAGTGCAATTTCGACAGTAGTGATGAATTATCCATTCATAATAACAGTTGATTCAATGAGTATGAATAACCACTCACATTAACCAACTGAAAACTAAATTCAAACGATTTTTCTCAAAACTAATAGTTAGCATTTTTGTTTGGTTCAAATACGATTTTCCGAATACAGATTTTGGCAAGAATACAGTATTCTACTCAAAATAAATAATACTCAGTTTCATATGTAAATATGTAAAAAAAATGTTAAACTGATGTACACAATATAAAGGTTCAAGCTACTCCTGACACTTTTGATATATATTCATGAATTTTTCAAGAGATCATTAATATACTAGATAGGTAATATTTTTAGTTTACACTGAAAAACTACTAATATTCAAAAACATAACTGAAACAATGTTTTCTTCAGTTACCTAGATTATTTCAATTATAATATTAATGTTTCTTATTTTTGTGGTTGTGTTTTTTTTATATCTTTCTTTGAGTGCTATTTTAATTTTCTTTGCCAGTTTCAAAACTGACCTTGAAGATTGAGTGGCAGAATAAACCTGTAGTACTGATTCGACCTTCGCGTTTTGGTTGTACTATTTCACTCAATAAAGACCCATAATATTAATTTCTTTCTTTCAATTTTATAAATTGAAGGTCATCAGTTAAAAAATGTGTTATGTTTTTGTCAAATTATATGGCAATATTAAATGAAAAACGGATAATACTTTCACTGTGAACTTATTGAAAACATCTGGTGTTATTTGACAAGTTATGTACTCACCTCACCTTTTTCAAGTATTTCTGGAGAGGTGCATGAACTCTCAGGTAAAAGTTCTGATGTTGAAAACTGCCACCAGAAATCTGTTCCATATTTTTCCAACAAATTCAACTGATGTGCCATGGTGTTCCTTTCAAGAATATAGATTTCTAATTATTATCAGATCAATGAAACATCAAAACTTTCTTACTCATCAATTATGGTTTCAGAAGTGTTCTTATTGTAAAAAACTGGTATGGGAACTCCCCATTTCCTTTGACGGGATATGCACCAGTATGGTCTCTTCAGGATTTGATTCGTTAAATTTTTTTTGTATGTTTCAGCTCTTTCACTTGGAATGAATTTAACGCTATCTAAAAGCTCCTGAATAAAAAGTAAGGATGAAAATAATTCCATGAAAATAAAAAAATTAATAGATAAGTACTTTTTGATCATTCCCATATTGATTTCAATTTAAGAGCCACCGGTAGACAGCTGTTTCAGCCTATTGGGCATCGTCAGTACCGGGCAGGCGGTCCTCGATTGAAGACAAAATGAGA